ACATTGGATAGAAAGGGTGAGATCGAGTAAAGATATTACTTTTTTTTTCTCTATACGTAAAAGTGGGTGATGAAGGTTGTTGCCTTTCACACTTTTTATTCTCAATATTACATAAAAAAAAAAGTTCTCTAACAATTGGAAGAATGATTTATATATAAAGACGATCGTGCAGGTTGAGAACAAAAGTGTATGCCAATACACACACACACCTTTTTTTTCCTTTTTTTTATGCTTCTACCTTTTATTCTAAACTGATGTAAACGTCCGTCACATCTCCTAGACAACATATAATCATCATTTTTCTCTTGAAATAAATCAATACCATTTGCAAGACTTGCATATACGAGAGAGAACATTACAAATTATTTTTATATATGGACATATATATAACAAATTTCTGATTTTTTTTTTAAATTTTAGATATTGCGTTTATTTTAACAAAAATGGCATCAGGTGGAAACAGTGGCTTAAAAGAAGCCTTTGATAAATATTCAAGATTTGGTAAAACCGAAGCACAATTAAAAGAAAAAGATATTCGAATTGATTCAAAAAATATTCAAAAAATGATGAAAGATGCAGGTATTGTTGATGGAACATATCCAACACAATTACTTGATAATGATATTTCTCGTGTTCTTGGAAAACTTACTAGTGGAGGAACATATGCAAAGGGACTGTAAGTAACAAAACAATTAAATCAATTAAGTTTTATGAATATATGAATTCTAGTAAAACATTTGAATTACAAGGCTTCAAACAACTTATTGATCAAGTTGCTGCATCAAAAAAAACATCGTCTGATCAAGTTATTGCACAAATCAATTCTACAGGTGGACCAAGTTTAGCTGGTGTTACAGTAAGATATTATATTAAAATGATAATTTAAATTTTTATAGTTCTTGTTATATTTAGGGTACTGCTAATAGAGGTATAACCGATCGTATGACTGATGCAAGTCAATATACAGGTTCACACAAAGAACGTTTTGATGTCGAAGGACATGGTAAAGGAAAAGATGGTCGTGTTGATGCTGCTAAAAATACGGGTTATGTTGGCAATTATAAAGGAGAAGGTAGTTATGATAAAACGCATTAAGTTCAATCAAACCATTTGATCATTAAAAAAAAACCAACAAACTTTGAAACCTATAAACATATATAAATAATCATGCGCATGTGTTTTTATACAGAATATGTGTCTCATTATTGTCTATGTCATGCATTTCTTTTTTCTATAAAATAAAACTAGAAGGATTAGAATTAAACGTTTTTTGATTGATATAAATCATTTGTATTATGTTTTTTTTTTGTTTTGTTTTTAAGAACAGAAATATGTCAAACTATGACGACAATTGGGTATGAATGGTTTTGTTTTGTCAATCTACATTCGAAAACAAAAAGACGCCATCACCCATGTATTTTTTTTCTTTTTTCTATTTGGTTCTTCCGATATAAATGTCGATGCACACTGACGTCAGCAAAAAAAAGGAATATAAAAAAAAAAAAGCATGCTCATCTATTTTCAGCATCTAGCAATGGCATACACACACACGCATCTGTTCTCCTACTTTATATATATTCGCAAAAGGGGAAGCGTTGTTTCTTTTTCTTGTTCTGTTAGTCATGACATCTATTCTTTTTTTCTTTCGATAAGAATTAACTCTCTTCTCTTAAAAGACAGAATTAAAAAAAAAATATATATATTTGTGTTCTCTTTCTATTCTTATTCTACATAATTGAGAGGTAAGTCATAATAGATAAAAATGTTGTCTTAAGCGACAACATGACATCATTTATGTAGACAAATAGAAAGATAATATCTCTAGTTAGACGATGACACCATACATTAATGTTTGAAAATAATAACTTAAATTGATTTTTCAAAGAATATTAACAGTGAGTAATCATACTATATATATTTAATATATGTATGATATGAATCTTAGAAAAATAAGTAAATAATAAACATAGACATCAAAATATTATGATAAAACGTTGCTGCAATGTATGGAAATTTTCGAGTGCTTTATATTTGCGTAGTTAATTTTACTTTTTCACTCATAAGTTGCCTTACGGCATTTGGTACTGTATATACGATTTTTCTCTTCGTTTTTCTTTTTCTTTTTTTTGTTCTTTCTCTGATTCTTTTTTCTATTTTATTTTATTGGGAAAAAACCAACCCTCTCTATTTGACGAGCTTATTTTTATTTTGTTTTAGTTACTATTCAAGCTGTGTCAATCAATAAATTGTCATAAATGATTTCTAAATTTGATAGTGTCGATTCAATAGTTCATTATTTACGAGAATCTACGTTATCATCATCAGTAGTTAATTCAACGACAACAAATTTTGATTTCAATAATAATAAATTCAAATCATCAAAAGAAAAAAAATTAACAAATCCGATGAATATTAAACCTACCCCTGCTGTTACTTTACAACCACAGTTAGCAGGAGATATACAAATCTTATCAAAAGGTCGTGTAAGGTAAAAAGATTAAATTATATTAAATATTTAAATAATTTTTTTTTTCTCTTATTTATGACTTAGATATGGACCAGTAACAGTTAATCCACGTAAACAACCATCAAAAACATTATATACTGGTCGTCGTTCAAAATATGAAGTTTTATCAGGTGATGAAGAAGAAAAACGTCGTGATCGTCGTGAACGTAATCGTGTAGCAGCAACAAAATGTCGTGAAAAACGTGAAAATGTTTTAAATCGTCTTGAAAAAGAACATACAAAAGAATTACATATTCAAGAACGTCTTTCTAAAATGGTTGAAGCTTTAGAACAAAAAAAAAATGATCTTGAAACATTTATAACAAATCATTTCAATGAATGTTCATTAATAAATAATTTACCATCATCAACACAATCATCAATGATCTTTGGTGACACAGCATTTCTCTCATCAATTATTGATACTACACCACCACCACCACTGCCATCTATTCAAGAACCAATTCTTCATCATGATGACGAAGAATTGAGTCATATTCTTGATCCCGAACCAATATTAACAAATTCTGCTTATAATACTGATGATTCAAATTCATTATTAATTCCACAACAAGAATTACAGACAATAACAATGACAAGTGGTAGTCTTGAACAACTTATAAATAATTTACAATCACCAACAATATCAATGGAAAATAGTAATAATCATTCAATATTATTTAATTCAGCTAGTGGTTCATCATGTGCTAAACAACATTCAAATTCAAGTGAAGATGATTCATTACCACCAACGCGTACAAATCCTTGTGTTTATTAAATATTTACAAGTTGGTGATGCATCTAAAACTAACACAATATTCTCATTCAATTTAATTTCTCTCTTTTTTCTTTCTAGTCTTTCTCTCATTTGTCGCAATTGTCTATGTGCTTTTTCTTTTACATACGTTTCGTCTTAAACATGATTATCATGGCTAGCCATTGTGTGACTATATTAACATCCGAAATTAATCAACTAGTTCTTGTGTGATTTTTGTTTCTATATATATATATTATTCAAAATGTTTTGCCTGTCTTTTCGTTTGTTTATATTTATACAACATATATATCACCAATGAAAGATGAATACAAAAATGATAATCTATTCATAAGAGGTTTTTTTTTCAATGAATAGAATTGATACATTATCATTGAGGATTAATTTCAATATATGTTGTTAAGATAGAAATGTTCAAATTTAATCAAAACTTGAAATTAATATTGAAGTTTTCTGTATATATTCAATAATATCTATCGTGATTTTTATAGATTAATTGATATAAAATAAATCACTAGGTTTTTTTTTAATATTAATTATTGATAATTTAATATACTCAAAGGTTCAATAATAAAGAAACATTGTCAAATATTTATTTTACTTCAATCGACATTAATTATGATGCGAAAAAGAAAATGTCTAAATTAAGTATAATCTGAGCTATTGCAATAATTCATAGTATAAATAAATAAAATTCTCTGTGTAAATTTTTTTTTCTCATGTCATATTGATACTTTGTAAAGTTAAAGTCATAAGCAGTTAAGATCTAGTTCAACATTTATCTTTAAAAAAAAAGAAAATAGCAGCTCATATTCTCTGAGTTTTAATCAGAAATAATTAATTCAAACGAGTAAAATTTATTTTTATATTGTATTAAGTTTATTGTAACTTTCAAAAATACTCGTAAGCGATTTAATAATGAACGATATGTTTCAAAAGAAATTCAAATTTGAATTTAGTCTATAGGAAAATCTTTAATTCTCTCTATAAACAATATTAAATACGTCATTATTTCTGTTTCTTCTCGGGAAAATTTAAAATAAACAATAGCATAACATCATGTTCTATATTTGATGGAAGAGTGGAATTCAGTTTGTTGAGGTCAATTACATTTATCTACAACAAGAGAATTTATATTTCAATATTATAATACGTGTTCCAACCGTATTAGAGAAGAGTCATAGTCGAGCAGGATTACGCTTTATTCTAAGCTAAATATCTCACTTTTGGTTTCATCTTTGCCTTCATTTCCACTCTTATTCTCAGTCTTTCCAGTTTGTGTTAAAACTAACACTGGGATTAATATTTCAACTTCAGCAATGATGATGATGATCGTAAAATATTTGACTTTCTTAGTTCAAAACAACTGTGGTCACTTTTTAATGTATCATATTATTATTTCTATTTTTCTCCTTATCCAATTCACATAGCTTTCTTATTTATGCATTGTTAGCCTTACTGATGACCTAACTGATAAGTTATGATTGTTCTATTTCTTTTTCTGTGATAACTCCAGACAAGAAAATAGTCGCGTCTTTTTTCTGTCTATATCATACAGAAAAAAGGGAAAGAATTTATCGTATCGTTCAAAACAACTACAATTATAGCTTTTTCTTTTTCTCTTTCTCTCTCCATCTTTATTCAACTATAAGAATTGACGAGATCAATGACAATATTTATTTTACTGAACAAAACTATCAAAAAGGTGAATATTCATTTCATTGATACCTCTCAATATTGATTTTATTCAAAATAGACACAGAAGAAATCTAATAATTTGTGCTTTAACTATTGTCTCTACAAAAATTGGTTTAGCAATGAAGAATCAGATATACAAATATATGGAAAGTACTTTGAGTATGTTCATTACATTCATAATCCATTGTACACTGAAAGACACAAGAGTAAGTGGCTCGTTCTTTTTCAAAACATGCTTACAGATCCAATGCGTGATTATACACTGGCTGTACGCTGTTGGTTTTATTATTCGATCTGTACATATTCATGAACTATAAGCGATTTATATCTTTCTATACTTTGCATAGATCATCAGTCCTATGTCTCTTACATCACCTGTGATGATACAGGCATATGGCCCCCACTCTTGATAATGATGCTGCTTATTTGTTTTTACCCTACTTGTTATGTCGTATTGTTCGACAACTACAGAATATCTTTATTCTTTTGTCACTGATAGTTACAACTAATGGGCTTTTGACTCGTTGTTGCGATAATATTTACCGTCTATTTCTTTGTTTGGTAATTTGTTTGTCTTATTTATAAATGGCTTCATCAGGATCTACCTTATCTTTCTTTTACTCTTCATCAAAAAGCAACTTGTTTATCTATGGCATTTTTGGCATTTATAATATACGATGTTGTATTGCGACTTCTATCCAAATGTATCGGTTTTGCTCTCATCTGACTAATGTCTGTTATAAACATGTAAGTTTATATAAGTGATTTTTATTTCTTTAGTAGTCAAACATTCTTTTCACAATAACATTACAAACATTGCTAGTATGAATCATTTGAAAAATAATTGATCGCTTAAGATCTAAAGATACTCACATCCAAATACAGATTTGAGATACTTTGTATAATCTATACAATGTTCATTTGTTATCGTAATATATAGATCGTCGAAAATCTATTTTTTTCTGTCATCAACATAATCGAGAATACTTTACAAGAACAAAAAACTCTCACCTTTTTCGTATATCTTAAGCCGACGACCGGTGAAGAAATATACATGAATACAAATTAAAAATTTTCTATAATCTTCAATCTATAAGAATATTTTATTTGTGTCAA